ACCATTTTGGTCCCTCAACTATCCACTTTGGTACCAAAATTATCCCTCAACTTTAAAAAGTACCAAAATTATCCTCAAACTTTCATTTTTGTACCAAAATGGTCCTTCCGTCAGTTAAATGACAGGTGGCACGTTATCTTGCCACAAAATTACATTTTTAAAAAAATTAATAATTTCGTGGAAAACCCACGTAACGTTATTTGATGAGATGGCATTTTTGTTTTTACATGTGACATTTTTTTCTTATTTAAATAAAAACCCACATAATTTATTATTATATTATTATTATTCTTCTTCTTCCTCTCTTCTTCTCTTTCATCCCTCTGCCCCTTCCTCGATCTGCCGAGCCCGGACCCAAAAATGAGCGGGCGCTGCTCGCATTGCAGCCACAACAGCCACAACTCCAAGACATGCCCCAACTGCGGGGTCAAGCTCGTCGGGGTGCGCTTGATAGACGGGTTGATCCCGAAGAGCGCCAGTATGCTGGGTCAAATTCCAGTGCGCATAACTCAAACGGGTCAGGTTCGCCTGGGGAGGAACATGATCATGCCGACAGTTATGCCTCTGAGGATTTTGTTCTAGGGTTGTCTTCTAGCCGGGAGAGAAAGAAAGGTTTGTGATTATTTTTTTTTAAAGATTCTTATCTGGGTGTTTAAAAGATAGGGTTTCGAGATCTACAAAATAGATGTCATTGCAATTCATAGATCTCCACAGCTTCTATGAATGTTCGTGCGCTTTTCTTTATGCATGTTTGAAAAAAACCCAGATCTGGGTTTGAGAAAAACCCAGTTCTCAAACCCAAATCTGGGTGTCTCCCAACTTAGATAATTAAGCAGAAGCAGATTCACAATTTCTATTTCTTTAAACGCCATCACCGCTGCTTCTTCCGGTGTTATCCTCGCTATCCATGGCGCCATCACCTCCACCATCACTCACGTCGCCGTCACAATCATTGCCATTGCCTCGGGTGCTTGTCTCTTCACCAAGGTTGACTTCTTCTGTTTTTGGTTTTGTTTCTTTGTTTCTTTTATGGAGCAATTGTTTGTGGTTGTTTGTGGAGAATCTCTATTTCTCTCAAGAACGAGCTAGCCACTGGTTAGAGCTTCATTTTTGTTCCGTTTTTTCGAACTTTTATGGTTAATTCTTGGTCCTGATTTTGCTACTTTTCTTTGTCTTGATGGAGCTAGAATTTTTGGTTCTCTTTAAATCAGTTCTCGCTGGTTTCTGTGCTGATTTCGCTAGCATTTTGGGTTATGGTTTGCTACAGATCGAGTCTCCGGTGATTCAGTACTGTTTCTTTTTGATTTATTCGCATCCACGTGATTTGTCTTGATTTGGTGAAATTCGAATGCGTGTATTCGAGGTTTTTTTGTTGGATTGTGATTTAGTTTCTCTTTTGTTGTGTTTCAGTGGTGTCGGAGGAGTTATTTA